CCCCTGCCCCCATCACCATTATGAGTCAGCATCCTCATATCAAAGAAAACATTCAGCGTTTAGTTTTTTGGGATTGGCTTGTTTCACTTAGCATTATATTCTCCGACTTTATCCATTTACCTGCAAATGCCATGATTTTATTCTCTTTTAATGCTGAGTAATGTTCCATTCCATTGTGTATATTTACCAAAGTTTCCCTATTCATTCATCTATTGAAGGGCATCTAGGTTGGTTCCATAATTTAGCTATTGTGAATTGTGCTGCTATAAACATCCATATGGCTGTTTCCCTGTAGTATGCTGGGTATTTTTTTTTAATAGTTTTTAGTTGTTGATGGACCTTATTTTATTTATTTGTATGTGGTGCTGAGAATGAAACCTGGTGCATCATGCATGCTAGGCAAGCGCACTACCACTGAGCCAAAACCCCAGCCCTAGTATGCTGTTTTTTTTAAAGGGGGGGGGGGAGAAAGAGAGAATATGAATTTTTTAATATTTATTTTTTAGTTTTTGGTGGACACAACATCTTTATTTTATTTTTTATGTGGTGCTGAGGATCAAACCCAGCACCCTGTGAATGCCAGGCGAGCACGCTACTGCTTGAGCCACGTTCCCCGCCCAAGTATTTAAGTTTTTTAAGTCCTTTAGGTATAAACCAAGGAGTGGGATAGCTGGATCAAATGGTGTTTCCATTCCAAGTTTTCCAAGGAATCTCCATATTGCTTTCCAGATTGGCTGCACCAATTGGCAGTCCCACCAGCAATGTATGAGTGTGCCTTTTCCCCCATATCCTCGCCAACACTTATTGTTGTTTGTATTCTTGATAGCTACCATTCTGACTGAAGTGAGACAAAATCTTAGAGTAGTTTTGATTTGCATTTCTCTAATTGCTAGGATGTTTAACATTTTTTCATGTTTGTTGATTGATTGTACATCTTCTTCTGATAAGTGTTGGTTCAGTTTCTTGGTCAAGTTATTGATTGTGTTATTTGCTTTTTTGGTGTTAAGATTTTTGGGTTCTTTATATATCCTAAAGATTAGTGCTCTATCTGCTGTGATTGTGGTAAAGATTTGCTCCCATTCTGTAGGCTCTCTGTTCACCTCACTGATTGTTTTTTTTTTTTAAATTTTTTTGCTGAGCAGAAGCTTTTTAATTTGAATTCATCCCATTTATTAATTCTTGGTTTAAATTCTTGCAGTATAGGAGTCTTATTAAGAAAGTTGGGGCCTAATTTGACATGATGGAGATTTTGGCCTACTTTTTCTTCCATTAGGCGCAAGGTCTCTGGTTTAATTCCTAGGTCCTTGATCCACTTTGAGTTTAATTTTGTGCATGGTGAGAGATAGGGGTTTAATTTCATTTTGTTACATGTGGATTTCCAATTTTCCCAGCACCATTTGTTGAAGAGGCTGTCTTTTCTCCAATGTTTGTTTTTGGCACCTTTGTCTAATATAAGATAACTGTAGTTAGGTGGGTTAGACTCTGTATCCTCTACTCTGTACCATTGGTCTACAGGTCTATTTTGGTGCCAATACCATGCTGTTTTTGTTACTATTGCTCTGTAATAAAGGTCTGGAATAGTAATGCCACAGGCTACCCTCTTCTGGCTAAGAATTGCTTTGGCTATTCTGGGTCTCTTATTTTTCCAGATGAATTTCATGATTGCTCTATCTATTTCTATGAAGAATGTCATTGGGATTTTGATTGGGGTTACATTGAATCTCTATAGTGCTTTTGGTAGTATGGCCATTTTGACTATTAATTCTGCCTAACAAGATAGATCTTTCCATCTTCTAAAGTCGTCTTTAATTTCTTTCTTTAGCGTGTTGTAGTTTTCATTGCAGAGGTCTTTCACCTCTTTTGTTAAGTTTATTTCCAAGTATTTTATTTTATTTTTTTGAGGCTATTGTAACTGAGGTGGTTTTCCTCATTTCACTTTCAGTGGATTTGTCCCTGATGCACAGAAAAACCTTTGATTTATGGGTGTTGATTTTATATTCAGCTACTTTGCTGAATTCATTTATTAGTTCTAGTAGATTTCTGGTGGAATGTTTTGGGTCTTCTAGATATAGAATCATATTGACTACAAATAGTGGTAATTTGAGTTCTTCTTTTCCTATCCATATTCCTTTAATTTCTTTCATCTGTTTAATTGCTCTGGCCAGTGTTTCAAGAACTATGTTAAATAGAAGTGGTTACAGAGGGCATCCTGTCTTGTTCCAGTTTTTAGAGGGAATGCTTTCAATTTTTCTCCATTTAGAATGATGTTGGCCTGGGGCTTAGCATAGATAGCCTTTACAATGTTGAGGTATGTTCCTGTTATCCCTAGTTTTTCTAGCGTTTTGAACATGAAGGGATGCTGTATTTTATCAAATGCTTTCTCAGTGTCTATTAAGATGATCATATGATTTCTTATCTTTGAGTCTATTGATGTGATGGATTGCATTTATTGATTTCTATATGTTTAACCAACCTTGCATTCCTGCGATGAATCCTACTTGATCATGATGCAATAGGTTTTTTTTTTTTGTGTGTGTGTGTGTGTGTATTCGATTTGCCAGAATTTTATTGAGAATTTTTGCATCTATATTCATTAGAGAGATTGGTCTGAAGTTTTCTTTCTTTGATGTCTTTTTCTGGTTTTGCAATCAGGATGATATTTTGGCCTCATAGAATATGTTTGGAAGTGTTCCCTCTTTTTCTATTTCATGAAATAGTTTGAGAAGTATTGGTATTAGTTCTTCTTTAAAGGTCTTGTAGAACTCACTTTTGTATCCATCTGGTCCTGGGCTTTTCTTGGTTGGTAGGCTTCTGATGGCATCCTCTATTTCCTTACTTGAAATTGATCTGTTTAAATTGTGTATATCATGGAGTTTGGGTATATCATATGCCTCTAGAAATTTGTTGATGCCTTCGATATTTTCTATTTTATTGGAGTACAAATTTTCGAAATAATTTCTAATTATCTTCTTTATTTCTGTAGTGGCCATTGTAATATTTCCTTTTTTCATCACGGATGTTAGTAATTTGAGTTTTCTCTCTCCTTCTCTTTGTTAGCATGGCTAATGTTTTATCAATTTTACTTATTTTTTAAAAGAACCAACTTGTGTTTTGTCAATTTTTAAAAATTGTTTCTTTTGTTTCAATTTCATTGATTTCAGCTCTGATTTTAATTATTTTCTGTCTCCTACTGCTTTTGGGGTTGATTTCTTCTTCTCTTTCTAGGGCTTTCAGATGTAATGTTAGGTCATTTATTTGGTGACTTTTTCTGCTTTTAAGGAATGAACTTTATGCAATGAACTTTCCTCCTAGAACTGCTTTCATAGTGTCCCAGAGATTTTGATATGTTGTATCAGTGTTCTCATTTACCTCTAAAATTTTTTTAAATCTTCTCCTTGATATCTGTTGTAACCCATTGTTCATTCAATATCATATTCTTTAGTCTCCTGGTGTTGGAGTAGTTATTTTTTATTTTATCATTGATTTCTAATTTAATTCCATTATTGTCTGATAGAATGCAGGGTAGTATCTCTACTTTTTTGTATTTACTAAGATTTGCTTTGTGGCATACCATATGGTCTGTTTTAGAGAAGGATCCATAGCTGCTGAGAAGAAAGTGTATTTGCTCGTTGATGGATAATATGCTCTATGTATGTCAGTTAAGTCTAAGTTATTGATTATATTGTTGAATTTTGTAGTTTCTTTGTTTAGCTTTTGTTTGGAAGACTATCTATTGGTGAAAGAGGTGTGTTAAAGTCTCCCAGAGTTATTGTGTTGTGATCTATTTGACTCTTGAACTTGAAAAGAGTTTGATTGATGAACATAGGTGTTCATTGTTTAGGGCATATATATTTATAACTGTTATGTCTTGTTGATGTATGGTTCCCTCAAGCAGTATGAAATGACCATCTTTATCCCTTTTGATTAACTTTGGCTTGAAGTCTATTTTATATGAAGATGGAAACCCCTGCTTGCTTACGTAGACCATGTGAATGGTATATTTTATCCCAACCTTTTACCTTTAGTCTGTGGGTGTCTTTTCCTATGAGATGAGTCTCCTGAAGGCAACATATTGTTGGGTCTTTTTTTTTTTTTTAATCCAATCTACCAGCCTATGTCTTTTGATTGGGGAGTTTAAGCCATTAACATTTAGGGTTATTATTGAGATATGATTTATATTACCGGTCATTTTGTTTATTTTTGATATTTAGCTTGACTTGGTTTCTCTTTTGGTTGGCTTTTCTTTTATTGTAGTTCTTGCCTTTGCAGATTTTCATTATTGTTTTTCATTTCCTTCTCGTGGAATATTTTGCCAAGAATCTTCTGTAGTGCAGGCTTTCTTGCTGTAATTTCTTTTAAATTTTGTTTATCATGGAACGTTTTTATTTCATCACCAAATTTGAAGCTTAATTTTGCTGGATATAAGATTCTTGGTTAGCATCCATTATCTTTTAGAGGTTGGTATATGTTGTTCCAGGATCTCCTGGCTTTGAGAGTCTGGGTTGAAAAATCTGAGATCTGAATTGGTCCTCATTAAATGTTTATCTGAGAAAAATGATGTTGCTCATTTTATTTGATGAAATAAGTAAGTAGAATGTGTTAAATATTCTTTTTAAAATCATTGAAATTTGATAGAATAGCTTGGTTGTGCTTTTTGAATTATGGTGCCACTCACAAGCAACACTTGGTGGTTCTGAGAAAAGTCAGTATTCCTACATCTTTGCCACATTTGTTTTGAAATGAGAGGGAAGTGGGGAAGAGAACATGAAACACTACTGATTGAAAACATCTACGTTAAAACAAATTAGTTTCAGATTTCAGGGATTCCCTTTTTTTTGGTCTGGTAAGTTCATCTGAAATTGTGTGGTTTGGGTCTTCTCTCCAACCCATTTTCTGGAACAAATTCCTATGAATATAATTTACTTGCTTTGTATTATTTGTTTTTATGCTTTCAATTTTTACGGTGTTTTTTAACCAAAAATTTTTTCTTATTTCCCTAGGGAGTTGGTATCTCAGTTCATGGACAATTCCGAGTGGCTACTGAGAAGTCTGTTTTTTCAATGCCAGAAACAGCAATAGGTAAAAAATCATTTTTTCATGATTACTTTCAGAATCATCTTCCTTTGAAACACTTAAGCTTATACTGTTGTTGAAGGAATGAAGTAATGGAATCTTGTGTGAGATATAACAAAGAAAGGTTGGAAATATTATGAACAACTTTATAAAGGAAAGCAAGCAAGAGAAACCTCACAGTAACTCCAGGTTTATACCTTGAGTTTCCAGCCTTGGTGTGGTCCTTCATTTGGGAAAGTTAAGCTAAGAGGCCAAGGAGACCAAGGCATCTAGAATTCCCAGAAGAGAGGACCACAGAGGAGAGAGTTGCAGACAGAACTCTGGAGCTCTGATTCTTGTGTAAGGAGGAGGTAGCCTAGTTTCAGGTCCAGGCTTTGCAATACTTAGAGGTCAAGCAGAGGAAGTAGAGCCAGCAAGGGAGACTGGAAAGATACAGCCAGTGGGAGAATGTGTGTGTATGTGTATTATCCTGGAGGGAAGAATGTGTTTAAGGATGGGAGGGTGCTTTCACTTGGGCAGAATACCATTGAGTCTCTGGGCAAGAAGAGGAGCAGAATGTTGGGCAAATGTAAGAAGGCCACAGTGGCTGGAGTTTAGTGGCTAGTAAGAGATACAGAAAGTGGTCAAGGGCCCTGAAGGATTTTGATAAAGATGATTGTTCTTATCCAAGACAATCAGGAAACTGTGAGAGGGTTTTAAGGAGTGCAATACTCTGATCAAAATTCGAGTTTTAAAAAGATCACCCTGGCTAAGAGAAGGTGTCAAGGTGGATGGTTGTTTCCTTTACTGAGGTGGGTAATGACAGGAGTGGGGAAGGTCAGGAGTTCAGTTTATTTTTATGTACAGTAGCATGCTGCTTATTCTCTTAATTATAAGAATCTTTGTTAAGTAGAACTAGAAAGAATTTTTGAGGTTTTGTTTTTATCTCAACTTCATTACGTTAAGTAACCTCAAAATAGCTGTATGAGTTAAACAGCTAGGGCATCACTGTTGTTTAAAGAAGTTCTTAAACACCGAAAAATAGTATACTGGTAACTAACTGTATAGATACTACTTCCAATTGTTGTAAGTAGAGAGGGGAATTTTAAAAATACTGATGGCTAAGGAAAGAGTAAATGCATGTGATTAGTATCAATTACATACTGATGGTTTAATAGAATGAATGGTATTGCACTAGTCTTTAAATATCTAGAATATTAGATAATTGATTAAGTTTCAGAGATGATTTAAATGTTTGTGATTAATTTTCCCATAATAACCCTTGTATTATGTATTTTTCCCCTATGTTTATCATTTGGAAAGAATATTTTTTCCAATTTTTATCTATTTCAGAGATTCTTAGAAAAGTAAATTGATGACAGGAAAATTTAGGTAGAATTATTGAGTACTTCAAGTACACAAAACAAGTATCATCCGATACTTTCTGCCTTCTATAGAAATGAGACATGAAGATTTTGAAAATACCCCAATCATCACAACTTGTAGTAAGTTCTTTGTGACATTGGTTAAATTTAGTATTTAGTTTAATAATATTTGTAGTGTAGATTTATACTCCAGAGAAATGGCTATGTGACTTAAAGGAAGGAGGTTTTATTCATTTCTTATTTGAGTCATTGTTATTTCTCTTTATTATGTTTAATTCCAGGACTGTTCCCTGATGTGGGTGGAGGTTATTTCTTGCCAAGACTTCAAGGAAAACTGGGTTACTTTCTGGCATTGACAGGATTCAGACTAAAAGGAAGAGATGTGTACAGAGTAGGAATTGCTACACACTTTGTAGATTCTGAAAAGGTAATTGGATGTTGACATGGAATGTGGAGGTACTATAAATGGTTGAAATAACAGGTTTTTGGTAGACATGGGTGTGAATTTTGATTTATTGCTTTTAGCTGTGCAACTGTTTCAGTTAGATTTTTTGTTGTGACCAAAGGACCTGAAAAGAACTTAGAGAATGAAAGGTTTATTTTGGCTCACAGTTTCAGGAGTTCCATCTATAGTCAGCCAATTCCATTCCTCTGGATCTGAAGTGGCAGAACATTGTGGCAGAAGGGCATGGCAGAGGAAAGCAGCTCAAGACATGGCAACCAGGAAGCAAAGAGAAGTCTTTGCTCACCAGGGACAACCCCAAAGGCACACCTCCAATGACCTACCTCCTCCAGCCATACCCCAACTCCCTACAGTTACTCCATAAGATTAACTCTCATAATCTAAATATTTCACCTCTGAACATTCTTGAATTGTCTTAGCTTTTGGAGATACCTCATATCTAAACCATAACATCAACCTTGGAGAAGGTGCTTAAGGTTTCCAATTCTGTTTCCTCATGCAAAATGGAGATGATAATACTTGGATTCAGGGCTGTTTTGCCTGGCATCTTTAGTGAATATTTTTTAATGAATAAATAGAATGTTAAAAAAAACCTATGTTAAGAAAATCTAATTATATGATATCTAAATTTAAAGATAGGCTTTTATGAAGACATTTCTGAAAGAGTCTGTTGTGGTAAGTTTCCCTAGTGCATTTAAAATAATTGCATTTGTAAAATATCATCTTGACTTCTATCTATTTATTTATTGTGTATTGGGAATTGAACCTAGGGCCTCACACATGCCAGTCAACTGCTCTACCACTGAGCTACATCCCCAGCCCTTGGTCTTGACTTTTCTTAAACATATCTGTCTTGTACAAGGAATACATGTTACTTATCTTCATTTTTTTTTTTTTTCTAGTAGTATGGCCAATTTTCTTAGGATAGCATAGCATAGTAGCAAAGAGTATACAAATAGACTGAGTTTAAAACCTACCTTGAATTTAGCCTCTCTGGTTTCCTGGTTTTCCGTCTGCAAAAGGGAGATGATAATATTTCCATAATAATCAAAACTCTTTGTGTTACATGTAACAAACCTAAACAAATTAATTTGAGGTGATTTTGTCCCAGAATTCTCAATAAAAGGCCTGTGATTTATTCTACTTTACCTTGCTTAGTTCACCCTGACTTATATTATATATATTTGAACCATATGGGTGGGTGGAATACACTGACTGCCCCATAGGTTCTGGATAATGCACTTCATCTTTGGAACCAGAGAGTGAAGTCCACTTCTCAGGAAGCATGTGGTCTTCAATGAATATCTGATCTTGAGGAAAAGGTGTTTGGAGTTAGAGGAAGGAATATTATAAAAGTTAAATTAGAAAATTTGTGTTTCATGCTTAGCTGTATAACTGACATACAGTAAGCATTCAGATTTTAACTGTTAGTATTTTAACACAATTTTCTCTGTGTATTTATTTATTTTTTTTAAGAGTTAACCAGAATTTTCACTGAGAATTTCTTGTGTTACACAGGATGTCCCACTTGTACCCATGTGTCTACTTTATAACATTCTATTTGGGGCACTGATACCAGAGATTGCATTAATTATTGGATTATTTTACAAATGCTTAAGGACTGTTAAAAATATAATTCTTTAATGTCATGCATCCTCTCTGACCTACCAGCCATTAACATAAACCAGTTGGATAGCATAAAAATGTATCATTTGCTTGCTAATAGAATTCCCTTTATTAACTTTATAAATTGGCTGTGCCATTTTTTATGTTAGTAAACCTTGATCTTGGTCCATTATGGATCCTATGAGGTATGTGAAGTGTGAGAAATTGAAGGTTGTTCCTGTACACTGTTATGAGGGCCTTCCATCTCATCTGGTTGAAGTTGCAGATCTTCCTATTGTGGGTATCTTCAGTCACATTGAGTAAGCAGCTGTTTCATCCTTCCCTTGAGCCATGGGCATTCCATTGTCCACTCTGGAAGGACATTCTTGATTATAGTAGAACTTAGCTAAGGATAAAAGAGGGAAAACTGATGTGCAGTGCTTTTCTCTGTCAACTTGCCTAATAATAATACCTGTAGCAGATAAACAGCCATTCTTAGGACCTATAGGAAATACAGAAATGAGTAATACCCATTGAAGATGGGTTTAGAAGTGGGTACAAAAGGTAGATAAACACGTCTCATCTGGCAGTATAAAGCATGACACGTATAAAAACAGGATACATGCTAAGAAAGTACTCAAAATGTTGAAAGAAAGAGCATACCTGTAAGAAAGGATTAGATGACCTTCCCGTGAATATCATCAGAAAAAGGCAAATAGAGTAGATAAACATAAATAAAATAAATCAACCTCATGGCCAGGAAAACATTAGCTATGTTTTGGAAATAGAGAAAAGTCTCATTTAGTTGTAGAATAGATATGTGAATGACTAGATGGAGAAGTGGCAGTGATGACAGTAGCCCCTAGTTAAGTGTGTTAATTTTACTTAGAATTAATTTAAAATAAAATTTATAAATCAAATCTTTGATTACAATACAGGTTGAGTATCTTTTATCTGAAATGCTTGGGACTAGAAGTGTTTTGGATTTTGGATTAGGGATACTCAACTTGCGCCACATTTCAAGTGCTCCTTAGTATCTTCCATCTCTTATCTGTTCCTGCTAAGGCAACATTTGCTGTGTGGGAATGACTCAGTTTAAGAGAGCATTTTAAGATAAGATTCTAACAAAGAGAGATTTTTAAAAAAATGAAAGTTAATTTTAAAAAAACCTTTCTGTTTCTATGGGTTTCAAATGTTTATCTTTTTATTTCCCCCGTAGGTGAGCATGTTAGAGGAAGATTTGGTAGCATTGAAATCTCCTTCAAAGGAAAATGTCGCAGATGTCTTAGAAACCTACCATACACAGGTGATCTTCTCAATGCTTTTACCCTAGGTTTTAATTTATGGGGAAAGTGAAGTGATTAAAAACTTATCAGTTGGTAAATAGTATAGTTTGTGGATGTAAATAAATATACTGGGGATTGTTTTACTTTAAAGCTTGGGGAGAGGACCAGTGCTTTGTTGTTAGAGTAGTCATCTGATAAGATGACTTCTTACTGTGCACAGCTCCTCTCCTCACTGCTGGAGAACCTCAGCACAATGTCTTCCGAGGGCTTTTCACAACACAGTGTGGCATTTCTGTAATGGAGATTCAGTGTTCACACTGTTGTATGGAGCTGCTAAATATCTATCTATAATAATATATTGCAGTGTTCGGTTTAATTCTTAAGTTATCTAACTTGATTTTTCTTGTAAAAGCCAAGTATAAAAGCACTATGCAACTCTAATTACACATCTTATTGAATACATACTTCTTCCAAAAAACCACTAAAATTATAATTGGGGAATAAAAAAGGCATAAAACCACAAAGTCAAATAGAACAGAAGAGGAGACAATGGAAGACATGTCAACGTACTAGGAGCTTGAATTCTAGGATTTTTTTTTTGGTGTGTGTGTGTGTGTGTGTGTTGGTGGGAATTGAACCCAGGGCCATACACATGTGAGGCAAATATTCTACCACTGAGCTACACCCCTGGCCCAACATTTTGGGAGCTTGAAATCAGCAGGCTCAGGTAGTTATACCTGAGAATGCTAAAATCATCCTTCAATGTGGGAAAGACAATAAGAAATCAGCTGATTCCTGGTATAGACCCTTTCCAAGGAATCAGGGCCCTCTGAAAACTGGGTTATAGGGCTAGGGCTATGACTCAGTGGAAAAGTTTTTGCTTAACATGCTCAAGGTCCTGAATTCAATCCCCAGCACCGAAAAGAGAAATTAGATTAAAGCCTGGAGTGGGGAAGAAAAACAAGAAGTTTTTTTGTTTGTTTGTTTTTGTTGTTATTTCGTTTTTGAGATAAAATGTTTCACTATATTGCCCAGGCTCTGGGCTTAAACTACCAATTCTCCTGCCTCAACTCCCAGGAGCTGGAGTTACAGGCATATACCACCATGCCCAGCTAAATTGTAAGTTTTTAAAAGCAGAACTCTAGAAGTCTTCCTTCTGTATAACCCAGAGCAACTGTCTTCACATAGCATGGCAGCAGAGTAGAATCTTACTCCGAGGACAGATGTGGTTGAGATCCTCCTGTATTCTTAAGAGGTGGAATGTAACTAAATGGGAAGACCCATAGCAGCAGTTGGCTTAGAGAACCAACATATACATATAAAGTTTCCTAACTTCAGATCTTCACAGAAAAAGAAGTATTGCTAGGGCAAGAGTAAGAAATTTAAATACAATAGCAAAAATGGAAAAACCCTACAACAGATAGATTAAAATTGACATTGAAGAAAACTCCAGGATAAGAGGAAGAAAAGGATAATGAGTGGAAAAGAAAGAGAAGCGAAGGCCAATGTGTAACTATTAGGAATTTATTACAGAAAAGACAAAGGATGAAATATTGAGAGAAACTGTACAAAAAGTAACCGAGAAATAAAGAACTCAAGTGCAGATTGACAGGGTCACTGAGTATTTGATGTAATAATGTGACTATAGAGCTTATGAGGATTCTATCCATTTTTGTCAGAGCACTTAACAGTCTTTCACTTTATCAAATTGGGTAAACATGAATTGGATTATGATATGTGGAGATTGAAAAGCCTTACCAAAGAGTTCTGTTAAATGTGTAAGTATTAGTCTGTAGGAAAGTCATCTTGGATTTATTCAGTACTTTTGTCAGTGATTTAGGTGAGAATGTTGACAGAATTTTGACCAAATTGATTTGAAACTAAGAAAATAAGTTAGGTAAAAGTACATGAATGTAAAAATACTTTGAATTTAGAGGAATCTATTTAATAGTAACTATTGAAATTTAATGAACATATGTGAGAACCACCCAAAGTACCAAATTTATAAGTACTGTTTTCTTTTTCTGGAGGTCAGAGCTGCAGGGACACCAGTAATATAGTAGGAATTTCCAGATCGGATAGAAAGTTGGCAGGATGATCTCTCAGATCCCTTGAAATCCTTAAACTCACAGATACATTTAAATGAGCCGTGTGGGTGGCGTTTGGGAGAATTCCCCCGGGAGTGTGTGTGGAGTGTGCTGGTGGAGTTCAGAAATAAAGTTTGTTCCTGCTTGAGTGGCTCATGATTTGTGCCCAGCCAGACTGCGGCAACATACCATCTGCATTTTGAGCACATAATGGTAGGTATTTGAGATTGTTAGATATAATTTGACTGAACGTAATTATTTGTCACAAATATATCATTAAAATGTAATTTTTATGGATTTAAAAAAATTTTGAATTCAAATTATTTCTTTTCAAACAGTCCAAGATTGATCAAGACAAGTCTTTTATTCTTGAGGAACACCTGGACAAAATAAACAGGTACTTTAAAAGACATCTTAATTATATTTATTCCTTTGGGAAAACTATTAAATTGAATTTTCTAACATTGTAATTATGTTGTATTTGGCAATATACTTAATTCTATGATCATATAGCGTGATGTGTACTTTTATTTTCACTTAAATTTGAAAGTAACTTCTTGCCCATCTCTTTTAGAGGGAAATAATCATTTATCTTTAACTAATCTTCCATGCTAATTTAGTTTAATTCAAAGTCCTTTTTTAAAAAAACTGGGGAAGAAAGGCTAGAAAATAATAATTGAACTAACTTATCTTTTATCTTTGTAAAATCATCTTCTTTGAAGGTCTTATTAAAGCATCCAGCAAAAGGTTTTATAGGAGAAATCTGTCTGAAAGATTTGAGAAATTGACAGACTGGCCTAAGGAAATAAGAAGAAAACTATTGGAAAATAATAAATCCATCTCTTCATTTTACAAGCTTCAGGTTTTCTTTAGTTGAAATATTTATTTACATATAAGTACTATGGATGTAAGAAAGCAAATGAAAAGAGAAGATTTAGGTTTTGTTTTGCACTAATGATGGTAGACTGTGAAACCCTTACCCAGGGGAGTAATAATTCTGTTTCGTTATCCTATAAAATAGGTTAAGAAACTCTTCATTATTGCAATGGGTCTGGGGGAAGCTTGTTTTCAGATTCTTGGTTATTCTGGAAATGGGAAATCACTTGCATATATATTGGTGAAAATATGTTTCCTTTTTTTAGATGTTTTTCAGCCAACACTGTGGAACAGATCATTGAAAATTTACAGCAAGATGGTTCACCTTTTGCCCTGGAGCAGTTGAAGGTAATCTATGGATTCTTTCTTCTCTGATATGGTGAAGTCTTAGAGTGCGGAAGTCTCTCTGAGGGGTGTCAGTGGTCTGTGGTGGTCGTAACCTAAGGCCTGGGAAGCAGTTCTAGTAAACATTGGCCTGCTCTTGAGGGCAAAGTCAAGCTGGGATTATATCCTTTGAATGTAACAGATAGGGATTTTTGTAACCCTGTTTCATTTCCAAGAAGTCCCCCTTGTCCTATGGGAGTTTTTAGGAAGATTTTTATCATAAAGATTTTTATCCCATTTCTGATGATGAGACTACCAGGCTCTCCAAAATAAATAGTCACCTGATGATATTTTGAAATTATGATATTAATTGATGAATTCTGTTTAATATGAAGTATTTTTTTAAGCAAGAGGTTTAATGGAAATGTGATCCTATTTAAACTAGTAAGAGATTATATTTATTTATAATAGCTAAGTCTTAAGTAGTATTTCTGAGTTAAGGACTCTGATTTTTCTATAGAATAACTGATAATAGAAGAAAAGCTATTTTTATATAAATGTGTACACAACTGAGTTTAGCCTGCAGCCAACACAGACTTTATATGTGAAGGTTCGGCTATGTGAGAAATCCTAAGGGAGTTTGAATTAAAGAGACAGACTCTAATTACCTTTAAACCAGCTCCAGGACCGCTAGCCTCTAGCTACCCATTAAAGTAGCGAGGTTTACTGAAGAGGCTAGCAAGAGAGAGAGAACACGCTAGGGAGTGCACTTTTATTGGGGAACAAAAAATTCTGCCTCCCATACAATGAAGGGGGGCAGTGTCCCAAGGTCAGGTGAGACGATTGGGTCTTTAGGGGCTGAGGTCAGGCATGCCTCCACTGAAACTCTATTAGATAAATTAAACAACTCTGACTTTCACTGTCCCTGTGGTTGCTGGCAATAATCCTACTCTACTTTGAACTTCTGTGAATTTTAGTGCTCATGTAATTGAAATCACATAGAACTTTTCCTTTGGAATTCCTTATCACTTGGAATTTTGTCCTCAAGCTTTATCCATATAGTGACAGGTGCCAGCCAGAATTTCCTTCTTTTTGAAGGCTGAATATCACTGCATTGCATGGTTATATTACATTTTGTTTACATTTTTTGGCTATTGTGAACAATACTCTTGTGAACATGGGTGTCTCTCTTTGAGGCCATGTTTTTAATCTTTTGGATATGTACCCATATGGATTATAGGGTAATTCTGTTTTTAATGTTTCAGGGAGTAACTGTACTATTTTCCATATAGCTGTTTCATTTTATGTTGCTACCAACAGTATAAGGGCTCCATTTTCTCCAGATCCTCACCAACACTTGTTATTTTTGACATCCCAATGGCTACCAATGTTAATATTTATGAGATGATAGCTCATTGTAGTTTTTTTCTTTTAAGTTGTAATTGGATACAATACCCTTTATTTTATTTATTTATATGTTGTGCTGAGGATCGAACCCAGGGCCTTACGCGTGCTAGGCGAGTGCTCTACTGCTGAGCCACACACAACCCCAGCCCACTCATTGTAGTTTTGATTTGAATTTTCCTAATGATTAGTGTTCTTAAATGTCTTTCCATATATTTGTTGATATACAAATATATGTTTTCTTTGGATAAATTTCAAGTCTTCTGCCAATTTTTAAATTGTGTTTTCAGAGTTTTTTTGTGTTGACTTATTGAAAGGGCTCCTTGCCCCACCCTCCCACCTCTTTTGGCCAAGCACTCTACCACTGAGCTAAATCCCCAGCTCAAAACTCCCTCTTCTTTTTGAATCTCCCATTTCTGATGATGAGACTACCAGGCTCTCCAAAATAAAGAAGGTTCTTCAAGTATCCATTTGCAGTGTAAACAAAGGAGCACACAAAGAAGAAAATCGGAATTTTTCTTCCTACCCTTAAGCCCTTGGTAAGAACACTAAGCCAAGGAAGGAGATCTAAATGGACAACCAATCCTTAGGAGAGCTAGGCTCTATGAAGTCCATGGCCAGAGAGTCAGAGAAACAAGAACAGGGAACAATAGGTTCTGTTTATATCCAGGAAGATGGTCCTGAGTGAATGGCCAAGGAAACCAGTTATCTTTGACTCATTTAATTGTATTCTCTGTTGTTGATAGGGGATGGCCTATTGTGTGAAGGCTTAGAGAGAGGGCATATAAGTTGCTCTTAACTTCACATATGGTGTGAATCTACATCATGTACAACCAGAGAAATGAAAAGTTATGTTCCATTTGTGTGCAATGAATCGAAATGCATTCTGCTGTCATGTGTAACTAATTAGAACAAATTTTAAAAACAAGATAACTTGTGATTCTTCTTTCTAGTTAGCAATGTGAGATTATGTATTTGTTTAAAAATACCCATTTTGTGAATAGTAAATGATACACAATTTTGTTCCCAAAGAAGTTGGCATACAGGGCTATGAGAGGACTCTAAAGGATTTATGCACCAAAAACAGGAGAAGGGATAGGAAAACTAAGAGTGATAGCCCAAACATAGATTTTTAAAAAGAGCAAAATACTAAAAAGAGAAATTCAACCTGAAGGTTTCATTCATCTTTTTATAAACTTTGAGAATTATTCATAAAATATACTGTTTCAACATAAAGTGGTAGGCTTTCATTCATGAAGAATTAACTGTGAAAGGAACTTTTCTTTTGCTGTAAACAAGTAGAAAACTGGACAAAATATATGAAACAACTACCTATGTCCCTGAGGGAAGGGAAAAAAGGTTTTATTGGCTTTCTTTGTGGAGGAATTTCCAGAATATTCATCTGTATGTGTTTTAGGTAAAACTCCACAAGACCAAGGGAAGAGTCACAGGAAAGCAGTGGTCTGAATAAGGAACAATGCTCATTCAGGTCTGGGTTGAATTCACTTTCCTATCAGCCAGACAGCTCACACCTGATTGAACACTAAAGCGAAGGCTACTCTAAAGTCCTCAGGTAATTCAGTGAGGGAAAGATGGTCTTTTCAACAAATGGTTCTATAATGATTAGATATCCATATGCAAGGGAAAAAAGAACTTGACTCTTACCTTAGACCACATGCATTTCAAAATGGATTATACATCCGAATGTAAATGCTATGGCTCACCACTTAAAAAAGAAAGCAGAAATGAATTCTGTTGTGAATTTGGCTTAGCCAAGATATATATATATATATGGATCATCTTACCAACTTATTTATTTTTTCTGTTCATTCTTTTTCTGATATTAATCAGAAAATCCAGCTGTACTGGAGATTGAACTCAAGGCCTTACACATCTAGACAAATGCTTTATCACTGAGTTACATCCCCACCCCTAGTAAGATGATCTTTAATATAATTAAATACTTTTGCTCTTTAGAAGATACTGTCAATAAAATGAACATAATTTCAACATACATTTCTGGTGAATGGACTTTAATTCACTATATAAAGATAAGAATATAAACAGCTTCTGTGAATATTTTTGTATGTCTTTTGGTAGCAAAGTCATCAAATATGCATACATTTTTATTACTGTCAAATAATTTCCTAATATGATTATACATTTACTTTTGAGCATTGGTTGGTTCTACAGCCTTATCAACTCATGACATTATTTCTTTTTCATTTAGTCATTCTCTGTGACTTGCCTTTTCTCTCTCTCTTTCTCTCTCTCTCTCTTTTATTTTTTATTTCTTATAATTTTTTTTTAGCTGTAGATGGATACAATAACTTTACTTATTTTTATGTGGTGCTGAGGATCGAACCCATCGCTTCACACATGCAAGGCAAGCGCTCTACCACTGAGCTATAACCCCAACCCTCTCTCTCTCTTAAATAGTGCCATATGATGAACAGAAACTGTTAATTTTAGTATTAATCCAACTTATCCTTAAAGATAAAAATCTTTAAGAACATTTCTTAAAAGAAAAAAAATCTTTAAGAACATTAAAATTGTTGATTACTATAGGTTTTCTTTTATGTTCTGTTTAAGAAATCATGGCCATCTCTGTAAGCTTTTATATTAATAGATGTGTTACTAAGGCTTCAGGATCCTCAAGAACATTGGAATCTAAAAGGCAATATAGGTCATTGTCTTCTATATCAAGAGTCCCCAAGAATACCCCCAAGTTTGGCTATCTGCTAGAAGGATTCTGGAGACTTCCGTGTAGTTGTACTCATGTTATGATAATATACAAAGGAAAATCTGCAAAGGGAAAGGCACATGGGGTGAAATCTGGAAGAAACCAGGTGCAAGCTTCCAAGAGTCCTCTTTCACTGGAGTGACACAGGACTTACATAATTCCTCTAGCACCTGGTTGAGACAAGACTTGTGAAGTACTTTACAGACTTGGTGTACAAGGCTTTCCCTAGGGACTAGACCTGTAGGCACTGTGCCTAGCACACACCAAAATTCCAGACTTCCAAGGGGAAAGCAGAATGTTGAGTCTTCAATTCCACAGATAAGGTGTGGTATTTAGGTGCATTAATTTCTCTTAGTGATGATGTAACTTTCTTTGTAGAGGACTTGCATTTGCATCATGCAGTGAATTTATTCCTAGATATTTAAATGGTTTCAATGTAAATGGTATCATTCTAAAAATTCATTTTTTATTTGTTGATATGTAGACATAAAATTGAAATTGAATTTTGTATGTTGACCTTATATCAGTGACTTGTCTAGACTCATTGAGTCATTTATAGTTTGCAGATTACTTTGAATTATTTGTACATATACTTTCCTTCTTCACGTTTTTCCCTTTCTCCTCCTTTGGTTCTTTTTTCTCTTCCTGTCACTCTCTCCTTATTCTGACTGCCTGTCCCCACACACTGCCCCAACTTCCTACACTGCTTCAACACCTCTAGCAAAATGTTCAGTAGAAGTGATGAGATGATAGTCATCTTTGTCTTATTCCCAATCTCGGGAAAAAAAAATCTTTAGGAACATTAAAATCATTGACTACTATAGGTTTTCTATGGAATTTTTCTTTAAATCAATATAAGGAAGTTCTTTCTATTCTTAATCACCTAAAAGGTTTTTTGGTGATTATTGGTTTGAATAAAGGTTGGATTTTATCATTAATACTTTTTTGCAGCTATTGGGATGATCAGATGATTTTAAAAAATTTTGTCTGTAATATAGTATGTTAAAAGTAATTATTCTTTTTCTTAATGGTGCTGGGGATTGAACTATTTTAAATGCATTTTAAAAAGTAAAATGATCGAGATATACATGAATTCCAAAGTTTAGAATTCTGTGTTAGGATTCTTCAAAGAAACAGGACCAAAAGGAGATAGGTGTTTGTGTGTGTGTGTGTGTGTGTGTGTGTGTGTGTGTGTAATCTGTATAATTAATATATAAAAAGAGTTTTATAAGATATTGGGCTCAAGCAGTTATGGAGGATGAGAAGTTCCATATTTTGTTGTCTGCAAACTGAACACCCAGGAGAGCCAGTGCTAGAGTTTGAAAGCCTGAGAGGAGAAGAGTCTAAATTTAAAAAGCCTGAGAAGATTAATATCCCAGCATAAGGAATCAGGCAGAGAGAGAAGCCTAACCCAACTTTCTCTACCTTTTTTGTTTTCTTCAGTCTCTGAGTGGATTGGATTTATCCACTCATATTAGGAAGGGTCTTCTGCTTTGCTCAGTCCACCAATTCAAATGCTCATCTCATCCAGAAACATTCTCACAGACATTCCCAGGAATTAGTGTTTAATCCAAAATCTGGTCATCCCTTGAGACAGTCAAGTTGACATTTAAAATTAACTATAACAGATTCTTTCTTTGAGGATTAACTCTAGACTTTTTCCTTATTTATTAATGGAAAAACCTGAACATTTTCTAAGTTCACATAGTGAAAGAAAAAATAGGGGCATACCTATATACGTCTTCAGTCAACCCCAAGACCTACTTGATAAAATGTTTTAATTGTGTTAATAGATGTACTGAATATTCTAGTTTTATATCAGCCCTTATCGCACATAATTTTTCTATTGACAGTGCATGTCACAAGATGTGTTATTGGGTTTTCTAAGACGGGGGGAGGAGGAAAGACAACATCTTGAGTTTTTCTATTGTTGAATTTTGATAAGTCTTGAAAGAAGGGTTCTTATCCAGCAGGCAGTGGTTATAGTGACACAATGCTCCTCGAGAGCAAGGACCATGTCCTGTTTATTATTGTCTCCTCAGAAGTAGACACTTCTACTCCTCAGAGTAGACTCTAATGATCTGAAATTAAAATGTGAATCATTTTGATAAAAGTAAAGGAAAAAAGAAGTTGGTTCCTTGATGTACAGGAGACAATCTTTAATGGGTCAGATAAATTGATTAGAACACTGACCAGTATTTTACAATGAGTAGAAACATGTTCACTAGGTTGTGTGGGTACAGAATTGCATCAATACACATTTCTGGCATAGCCAAAGATGCAAGTCCTAATTGTTCATCAAAATTTTCAGAATAGTCTGTACTAACAAATCCATGGCTGATTTGACTCTCTTCATCTTTCTTTGATTCTAATACATTTCTCACTTCTCTGCCAAGGGAAAAGTCCCCATCTGTGTGCTCATTCCATCTTTTCCTTCCTGTGTAGGAACTAATTGCATCAGTCATTTCCTCCTTTCAGTATCTTCAGGTTTACTGTCTTGAGTTATTGGCACATTTTCTTATGCCATTATTTTCAAAGCTTTTCTACTCTTAAACAAGTTAAAATGCCTTTCTTTGACACTGTCTTCCTTACTTTGTCTTCCACCATCAAAATTACATGAGTTTTTGGTCATTTCTGTTCATTACCTGATGTGATATCCTTTTTCTTTTTGAATTCTCTGCAGCTTTTGACAATCTTGACTACTTTTATAGCCTTGTATAGTAGGAATTGGAGTTAATACCTTTGGGTTTGGTTCCTAACTCACTTTCTATGTCACCTTGGACAGATTCATATCAGGGTTTGGTTTCCTCATTCCTCATCTTTCCCATCTCCTTTCCCAAAGTGTAATGAAACATATTAACATACTTCCCTAAGAGCTATGGGGATGTGCTCAGTACATCCTTATTCTACTGTGTTTCTGATGCATTGCAGTACCCTTATTGCCATGCCATTTACAAGGCAAGTGGTAGTATTAGCCTTATTTTTACAAATGAGGAGACTAAGGTCAGTCATCTAGGAAGTGGTAGAGCTGGGATTCCAACTTAGAGCTCTGTGGTCCTAGAGCCTAACCCCAAGCCTCAATGTTAAATTGCTAGCATACTAAGAATAGTTAAACCCTTAGGTTGTCAGTATGCCAGTTTTTTCTTATGCAGTATCAGTATTACAGAAATATTTTTCAATAGTCAATATTTCATAAAATGTCTAACAGCTTTTTGGATGAAGCATTTCCCCTCATTTTTTCATGTGTGGGTGACAAATAAATGGGGCCCTTAGTGCCTTTCTTATGGAATATACTTCCTCAGCCAACTGAGGAAGTATAACAAAAGACAGATTTTTGCAATTTGCAAAATCAAAATGGAAACCATAAGCAGTGAGCTCTTACAGTTTTGCTGAGGAATAACTGTGGGCTCACATACTACAATGTTGTTGATGAGGGAGTTGTGGTTTCACTGACCTGTAGACAAAAAAGCCAGAAGGTGGCTTTTCCCTTCAGTATAATTTTCAGCATTATGAATAAAGTTCTTCCAAGTACTCACTTCCAGGTACTCACAACAATATATGGGTATTGATCCTACTAAAGAAAACTAGTAGATTTGTCAACAAAATGGACCCATTGTCTGCTTGCCAAAGGAGAGGCCTCCTGGCACAGCATACAGACTGCTGTGAGGTATTATCCTTATGCCCTGTGACTAGAAAGGCAGGAACAGGCAGTAGGAGTAAGTGGGATGATGTCCACAAAGCACCTAGCTCAGAAGGGTGAGTTCCCTTGAAGAACCAGTTTCTTAAAATCCCTTAATCATTTTATTTCTGTCCTATCCACTTTTCTTTTCTTCTACTCTTTTCTCCCCTCCCCTCCTCAATTCTCTTCTCTTCCAGGAAGTATCAACTAGGTAATAGCTCTCTTGTCTTCTCTTCAGCAGCACTGTGGTTGTATGTAGGTCACTGATCTTTCCTGGACTTTTCTGTATGGTAGTCATCTACTTAAGCTCTGCCAACTGCTAGGTAAGATGCTGTCCTAGCCACTCAACTTGTTCTTTGAATCTGTTCGCCAGACTTAAGGATAATACAGAGAACATAGGCTCTTGAAGTGGGGAATTCTTTGAATTCACAAAATAAAGTTTAAACCTTTGAGCAATCATTGAACAATAAGCTGGAAACTATATGTTGCAATTATAAAGGAAAATGTAGGCATCGGGTGTCTCTGACAAGGAATGGACTCTTTCATCAGCCAGGTAGTTACGATTATGCTCATGCATTGGAACACTGGTAATAGCATCTCTAAATTCAGAACAAATGGCCTAGCATTGTAGTAAGAAGTCAGTCTATAATTCTTATTTTGTTATTTAAATACTATAGAAGAGTGCCTCATAGTAACTTGGATCATTCTGTCTTCTCTCTTCCAAGGTAAGTAGGTTTATTTACAGGTGAAGAGTTCAGATAAGACACTTCTAGAGTCACATAGTGGGAAGGAAAAGCTACTGCCTTTCTTAACTCCTTCACTTTCTTTACATTGTAAGAGAAAGTGTCCACTGAAAATATTACTACTTTGTAATATGCACATTAATTTTATTTAAGTATAATCACTGGTTGCTTAGTTGGGATCATAATTTATGCCAGGCAAACCCCAAAGGTACATTAAGTTGTAAGTATAGAATTTACCCCACTGTGGAATGATCCCTTTTTGTAACAGAACTTTTTTTTTTTTTGGTGTTTTGGAAGGATTAGGCTAAGCCATAACCCTTTGTGAGTCTTTGGCATATGAATTAATGGGCATATTTTAATATGACTTGCATGGAAATTCTTCTGGCTTATTATAGACAATAAAGGAACTATTTGGCTACAACTTACAACTATGTTTTTTCCCCAAAAGGTGATTAATCAAATGTCTCCAACATCTCTAAAGATCACTCTAAGACACCTCATAAAGGGGTCTTCCCAGACCTTGAAGGATGTATTAACTGAGGAATATCGTATGAGTCAAGCATGTATGGTAAGAATTTTTTTTTAAAAATATGGTTTTCTAGTTAGGAAAGTAATATATGCTCATTGTGTAGAACATGTAAAATACAGAAAAAGATAAATAAGAAAATCAAAACTGCCTGTAAATTTACTCCATGAAAACAAACAGGCCAATTAATTTTAGGGTTGTGGAGGTATTGCTACCCAGATTATCATGAAGCCTTTATGACATAGCAGTTGCATTTGCATGTGTATAAAAAGGCCTCTGACCTCATGTGGAATTCAAAATGAAAACTGTCCATTTCTTAGGCAAGGTCTCTGTCACCTTGGGCAAGGAACATAAATGTTCTAAATCTGAATTCTTTCTCTGCAAAAATGAGGAATATTACTTATAAGCTGATATATGCATAAATGGAAAATATTAGTTTTGTTACATGTTTTAGTTGGTAGATTAACATTGAAAGTACTATTGTAAACATAGACAGCAATCAAAGGCAGTGTGATTATCATGAAATATTTCAGTCAGATTTTTTTTTCCATATAATAAACTTTATAAAGGCAGAATTATCCCTTATGTTCAGAGGGCCCTTAAGTATCATATTATTTAGATTAATATAAACTTATGGTCAAGGGAATATTTAGTTTAATTACAGAAAGAAAGCAGACATGCCTAATGGATTTTAATGTCTTGAAATAGCTATTAAGACATCAAATTTGTTAATCTAATCAGAAATAAAGCTCTTTTTGACCATGTCTTAAAGTTACTTCTTGAGGAGGCAATGGTAGCTAAAGTCTATTGAGTGTAAATACTAAGGAGAAAAAAAAAAAACAGAAAATAGGATACAGAATTCAGAGCCATAGCGGGGGCTAAACTACAGATAGGTTAACCAGAGAATTGCTCTTTGAATGAAGACCCTAAAAGTAGTGAGCCATGTAGATTTCTGGAGGGAGAGCATCCCAGGCAGAGGGAACTGTACATACAAAGCTCTGAGGAGAGTGTACCTCCCTGTGCTAGGAAGAACAAGGAGGCCATGTGGGAGGGAGGGGTAATGTAGTAGTGAGTGAAAAATGAGGTCAGAGGCAATATTGTAGGGAAGGGTCTGGTGGAGCATACAGGAGCTTGAAGCTGTAAGATCTTTGACTTTTGTTCTGATTAAAATGGAAGCCACTAGATGGTTTTTAAGCAGAGGAGTGCCATGATCTTTAATAGAGCTCATCACTCAGGCTGATGCATTAAGCAGTGAGTGATAAGATCATCTAGAAATCAAGAGATCCCAGAACTGAGCCCTAGGGAACCCCCACCATTTTAAGGTGGGGTAGAGAGAGTGCAGTGGCACTGTCAAAGCATCTGGCAGATGAGCTTAGAAGTAAATCACCCTGAAACCATGTGTGATTTTGTCAAATCTTCAGAGTAGTGGTGGAAGAAGAAGTTAGAGTGCAGAAAGTGGAGAGGAAATGAGCAAATGAGATGTGAAAGTAGACACAATATGTGTATACAACTTTTTTTTATTATTATTATTGAAATAGAAATAGGTAGAAGCTAGGACTGTGAGGTTCATTTTGTAACACGGAATGGACTGGAACATGTTTGTAAATTGGGAATGATCCAGTTGAGAAAAATGGTTATATTGATGATACTAATAATAACTTATGAACACTTAGTATGTGTCAGGCCCTACTGGAATATGGATTAAAAGAATCCTGTGATGGGTGTATTGGTATTGCCATTTCATATAAGGAAACTGGGGTTTAGAGAAATTTCTAGGCAAGGTAACATGGTCACTGTGTAGTGGAACTAGGAAGTGACTTGAACTGCATACACTCACCCACTCAGTTATGCAGTTGCACTGGCAATGTAAAATACAGAAAAAGATAAATAAGAAAATAAAAACTGCCTATAAATCTACTCCATGAAAACAAACAGGCAGAGGAGTAGATGACTTTCTCAAGCAGACTTTTTGAGAAGGCAAAGGAGATGTGAACGGGAGTGTAGGGAAGGACTGACCTTGCGAGGAGAATGGTCCCTTTCTCCATAGTCATGAAAAAGAAGGCAGGTTCAGATGGCTGCAGTTGGCTATACATGTTTCAGTGGTGAGAACATAAGAATGTTCATTCATGAGGGCTTCTCTATTTTTAATAAAGTAGGAGGTTAGATCATTAGAGAATACTGTAAGAGGGTTCTCTAGGGGAAGAGGCAGAGAAAGCAATAAACAGTTTAAATTATTATTTTGGGGAACAGGGAAGAGATTGGATAGTTTTCCGTGCCTGTTTGAGAGTTGTGATCATGAATTTTAAACAAAACCACTTACAGTTGTATGATTTTTGTTCAGCTAGATTAAGCTGCTCAAATTCAGACAGAGGTAAGTGGTCGGGTTCTGCTGGTGCAGGGATTTTGCTAGAATAGTATAAAAGAGAGGACGTTTGAGGAAGATGAGGCATTTTCCAGGAAAAGTGACCTATGAATGGACTGGGGGGACTGGACTGTACGAAGAGCAATAGGAAGCCAGTGTAGGGGGAAGAGTTATGGAATCAGGGGACCTGAGGAAGACCAAGAGCATCACAGCAGTGAACAAAGTTTCACAAATAAAATTTGGAGATGATGATCAGAAAGTTGTCAGGCTCTAAATGTCATTGGTTTATGGTCATGGGAGAGGGAGGTTGCAGCGGCTGAAAAAGAGGCATAACCCAGGATAAGGATGCCTAGAAATCTCCTACATTAACCTCAATTTTCTTTCAGAGAGGTCATGACTTCCATGAAGGCGTTAGAGCTGGTAAGTAACAAATAGCTGTGTTTCCTTCTTAGATATCAGGGAAATAGGATTTGTGAGCATACAATGTTACTTAAAGTTGGTAGTTGTTTTATTAGTGAAAATTAAACTTTTGTAAAAATTGGCAAGTTATGTGTTTTTAAATATACTGGATATAAAGGGAAGTTCAGTCTTGAAACTAATATTGCTCTTAAAGTTCACCTAATTTGGTTACTTCTCCCTAATTTACATACAAGTAGTAATCCTGCTTTTACAGTCACATGGACTGCCTTATGAGCTTATAGACTCATCCTGCTGCTGACTCCTTGCAAAAGCCCTCAATTCTCCTTCCCTTCTTCCTCTTTTGTTACTGGCCTGGTTAAATTGGGCAGTGGTTGAATCCTACCATCTACTTTCCTTGCCTGTATCTGAGCAGTTAAACATTGCTGGAGAAAAAGCATTTGACGTTATACTTTCCATTTTTACTTCTCACATCTAAAGTCAGCATTTTTAGAAAAAGCAAGTAAAGTGATATTTTTTTCCCAACAAACTTGCCACAGTTCCTTTTATGAATAGCCCTCATCTTTCTAAGGAGTTTTTGTTTATTGTATAAAATGAATTTTTTCTCTGCATATATTTTGTACATCTAATTTTCTTATGTTTTTATTAATCATCTTGATATATAGACTCTAGATATACATTTTTATCTGAATAAAAGGTTGTGTTCTCTGAACTCAAAGCTTTGGTAAAAACCAGTGACTATTGTAGAATTCTCTTCTTTTCTGGCATGATATAACATTATTAGAAATACGCACCAAGTACAAATCTGGTTGGAAGACAATGGAGTTGAGTCAGAGCAAATGGCTATGTTTTATAGAAATCAAGTACAATATGCGTTTTCCCCACTAATTCCTTGCCAGTTCTCACTGCATGGGATTAGTGCCTACATCTCTGATTTTAGGAGGACCTGTGTACTACCTTGGATTGTGTTGCTAAAGTAGTCATGATATATTATGATAGCTCTTCTTCAAAAAGGGAGGTATTATTTTTAGATAAATACTTGCAGTTATTTTAAGAAAAAAGTTGGAAGTCAAGCAGTGATATCTAGAGTTCTGATTCATAAAGCAAGTGATTATCAAGCTACTTTTCAAATGAGAGAAGGTGTGTTGCCTCTTCTTTAGCACAGCTTCTTTATTCAGAAAGCAATATTTATTCTGGCTAAAACTATTTCATGTTCTTGCTACAATTTTCTAACTATGTGTTAGCAAATTAGAAGAAATGAGTTAGCAAATTAAGAAAAGTTGCAAAAATTCTTACTCTTAACATCTAGAATAAACTTCTATCTAGTTATAGAAGGAAATAAAAATGGGTTATCTTAGTAGAGCTAAGTAGCTACCAAATGGAATTTAAACAGTATCTTAGGAGACCTTCTGAAAAAAACAATTGCCTATATGGCAAGAATTTCTTTCTATCCTAGGCAAAAATTTTTGTTAATTTGAAATAACACCCAGATTTGATTAGTATTCTCTTTTCTTTTGTCCTTCAGTGGAACTTCAAGGAGGGTAGGTAGTATTGGTCAGAAGACTCAAAAGTAGGCATCAGAACATCAGTGTTTAACATCACCACTGATCTGATTGCAGAATCCCAGACAGCCATACCTAACAGCCTCCAGCACAAACGGGGAGTGATGGTGCATGCCTGTCTGTAGTCCCAGCTACTCAGAAGGCTGGTTTGAGATCAGCCTGGGCAACACAGACACACCCCATCCTAAAACAAACCTCCAAAAACAAAAGATTCTAACAAGGCTTCCAGTGTCCACATTTAATTGTATATAAAGCTTCCTTTTCTCCACCTACCAAGAGAAGCTTCTTCCTTGGTTCCCAGACTGCTTCTTTCATTAGCTTAAAAAATTAGTTTTTTCCAGTCTTTGTAGAGTTTGTATATTTAAATATTTCTATTATTCACCAGAATTATGAACTTTTTGAAATACTTTTTCTTTAATTGTAGATGGGCACAGTATATTTATTTTTATGTGGTACTGAGGATCGAACCCAGTGCCTCACGTGTGCCAGTTGAGCGCTCTACTACTAAGCCCCAGCCCCAACCCTAAATATGCACATTTTAAGCATAGTTGAAATTTGCTACCCCAACCATAAAATTAAAAAAAAAAATTTTTTTTTGTAGATTCACATCTAGTTGTAAGAAATAATGAAGAGATCCTGTATACCCTCTACCCAGTTTCCCAAACGAAAACATGTATAACTGTAATGTGTTGTCACAACCAGGAAGTAAACATGGCTCTTCTTATTTTTTAAGAAGAGGTTATAGATTGCCTCATCCTTACAGTCCTGTGGGGATATTATGTGGCTACACTAAGTGATGACCACACTGAAACAAGAGAAGAACAAGGCTTCATGATAACCTGACAGTGGTCTGATTTTTTTTTTTTTTTTTAAATTCAGAGCTATCTGAGCTAGTGGATTTAGCAGAATAGCAATGTCCACATTTAATTATGCATAAAGTTCTTTTCTCTCAACCTTAAGTAATTTTCCTCCCAAAACTAAGTGTGGTGGAGGTGAGGTGGCAGATCTGAGTCATTTGCTCTCCCTTGTCTTCCCTTTCAACCATACCAACACTAGTTTTATCTTCTTATTATTTTCTTGAAAGAGGAAAATGAATGTTTAAATCACTGAATTAGTTCAGGTGGCTTTATTAAATCTGCAGACATGAAGCTTAGTAGGTGAGAATATACCCACACCAGTCATCAAAGGTATATTGCTGTCCTTCCATATTCTCTGAGGGTTTAATTTAGAAGAAAAATGTACAAAAATATATACTGAAAGGAAACAATGTACTATAGCAAAATATGCCTACTACAAAACAGCTTCTATAAGTAATTAAATAGAAAGAAATATCCTAACATCTATGTCTTCTTTTGCCAGTTTTAGTTGATAAAGACCAGAGTCCAAAATGGAAACCAGCTAATCTAAAAGAAGTTACTGATGAAGATTTGGACAATTATTTTAAATCTCTGGGAAGCAATGATTTGAAATTTTGAGGTGACTGTTACTTTTAAAATTTATTTTGTAGCAGAGGTTGACAACTAAACACAGAAGCCCAGTCTGGCCTGCTGCCTCATTTTATGTAGTCTACAAACTAGAAGTGGTATCTTCATTTTTGAAGGGTTGGGAAAGGAAATAAAAAATTAATATTTCATGACTTCTGAAAATTACATGAAGTTCATGAGTGTCTACAAATAAAGTTTGATTGGAATATCACTGTGTTCATCTGCACATATCATCCATGGCTGCTTTGATGTGAGTAGTTGCAGCAGAGATTGTATGGCTTGCAAAGCCTAAACTATTCACTCTCTGATCCTTGTCAGAAAAAGCTTACCAACCCCCGTTTTTCTGAGGATAGGACAATTCAAAGATCTCTTGAGATTCTCAAGTTATTATATCTATTTGAAATGGGAAATTTGGCTTTCAGTAAGTAGTGATTTATGTTTTGGCTAAACAAACTTAGGTGTGGATTATAAAAAATAAAGACCCTGATATTTTTTTGAGGATTCTGTGGTAATGCATCATAGAATTTCCTTTATGAGTGTATTTTGCAGTAACTGGGTTACTATAGCATAAGAGTTCCTTTTGTATATATTAGAAATCTTGGTCAAAAAGAAAAAGTTCTCATGAGGTTCTCTCTCCAGTATTTTAACTCAGCTTTGGTCTTCCCTAAAATAATTAGAATATCTTCCCATGGGTGAAAATGAAGGCATTATTTTTTACTTACAATATTTTCTAATTTGGCAGAATAAGGACCCCCAGTCTCTAAGACAGAGATGCTCTACTTTTTATTATTTAAACTTTTGTGTGATAATAGTTAAAAGTAGTTTAAAATATAAGTATCTTCAATAATTGGTACTATTGACAAAATAAGTGTTTTTTAAGGTATGTAAGGCTTTAAAGTTCTAGTTAAGAATAATTTTTAAATTAAAGGTCAGTTTATCATTTATTTGGTAACTTGTTCTAGTTTTTCCTTAATTCCACATCCCTCAGAAACTAAAAAAATTTCAGGTGTGTAAGAACAAAAACATAGAAAGACATCAAAGATTATGGATTATACCCTTCTTATGAGATTTGAAGCCCAGAAGGTATTGCTCAGTTCTTAATCTATTTGACATGGTTTCTTCCAAAAAATTCAGGAACAGATCTGAAATAAAAATGTCATGATATCGGATATTTATATTCATATCTTTAAAGCTTCTAAATTGAACCCAAATGATTCAAGAAATTATTTGTATAAGTGGATTTTTATTCACTTTACACTTGTTAGCAATACAGAAAATGTTGTCTTTTATGTTAAAAAATGTCAAAGTATACAGCATTGAAAAGATTTTCCTTCAATTAAATAAGAACTTATAGCTATGTAATTGCAACTGTATAGTTACAAAAAAAAAATGTTTTCACAAAAGTATTTGGAAAAAAATATACCACTTTATAACTAATTCTTACAGGGAAGAGAATTTGTTAACAAAACTTGGGTTTTGTAAATTAAAGTGCAGGTAGTACTCCTGAAGGCATGGCTTATTTGTTTATGTAAAGACAGGATGAGGGCATTATGATTAAACCAGGAATTTGTTAGAACTTTTCTTTGTTCTGGGAGTTGCTGAGGGTTGAACTCAGGGGCTTGTGCATGCGAGTCATGCTGCTCTACCACTGAGCTACATTCCCAGCCATTTTATTTTCTTTTAAGACAGAATCTCACTAGGTTCCCAGACTAGCTTCAAACTTGAGGTCTTCCTGCCTCAGTCTTCCATGTGACTAGAATTATAGGTGTGTAACACCACAGCCAGCAAAATTTTATTTTTACTGTTTCTTGACATTACTTAAATGCGTCTGTAACTTTTGATTTCTACAATGTGTAATGCAAATGTACACTTCCACACCATCTCAGAATACCAATGATTTTTGAGTAGGATGTATGAGTACCATGCTATTTTTATCATACTATAGTATTAAGGCGGTTTGATATAAATTATTCCTTTGGGATTAAGATGATAATCATTTTTGTCGCCTTCAATATGCCTTAAGTGCTGATAACCACAGGCAGTTTGCAACAAACTGATAAAGCAACTCAAAGTGGAGAATTCTAGGTCCAAAGGCATGAAAGTTAACGGTATGTAAGAGACAACTGGGAAAGCAGCAGTGGGGCACATTGTGGGGTTGTGTGACTCTGTAAATAAGGGATTGGTGTGCTTGTTTTCTAATGATCAGCCTCCACAGTTGCCACCTGGAGGGTCTTTGTTGTGCTGGTAAGTGTGCATGGGCCCTTACACCACTAATGCTCCAAATATGTCCTTTTCCAGTAGCTAATAATTCTCTCCAGTATTCTATTTTATAGGTCTCCTCCTTTCTCAGTTGCCCTATTTTTTATGAAAAAATGAAGTAAAGCCCATGTTTCAATATGAATGTATGAAGGCAAAATTTTACCAAAACTGTTCTTGTCATCAAGGCCAAACTCTTAGTAATTGTCACATGCACTATAAATTGTTTACTTAGCTATCTTCCCATCTGGTTTATCCACTAACTCACTGATTATGTAAGCCCGTGGCTCCTTGTTCATGGGTTGACATATAATACAGCAGCTTTTAGATAACTCTTAGATGATATATACATCATACTCTATGGAAATAAAACTCAGGGCAGGGGTGGTGCTCAATGATAAAATTTTACCACCATAGTGCTGAGAGAGGGTGACAACAGAGATCAGACTTCTAGCTAGATATGGATCTTTCAGAGATTCCTATTACACTCTGGGAAACAGGGGCAGAGGGCAAAGAAGGAACCTGAAGTTAAAATATTTAGTTATACCCAAACCCCACTAGTCTATGTCCCCTATGTATACTGAAAAATTTAGTGACATAGCTTTGTATGGCTTTGTGTTCTTACCACAATATTATAGTATAGATTTAATTTATATCTTTCCAATAGCAAATGACCTTGCAGCAAAAGCATCCTTAGTAATATATAAAACAGAAAACATCCTCATCTAGGTTTTTGTCTGTGTCATTAGTATAAAATCAAAAAACCTCAAAATTTTCTTCATGAGCTACAAATGTACTTTGTATTTAAAAACTTTTTGTCGGACTACGACTTCAGGTCTTTCTATGAGGAGGATTGGTTGCTTTTCTATTATACAAATTGCAAGATTACAAGTTGAATAATCAGGCATCCCAAAACCACTGAAATTTGGGACATCACTTCATATCCCTTCCTGTGCACATGTAACTTGAAGAATTCACTGATTCAATTTTTGGTTTCAAAGTATTGCTTTAAGTTAGAGGTGTAGCTTTCTGCCTGCATACAAAGCCAAATATATATTGATCTTGAAGTCACAAGCCTTCTTCTACCTCCTTTAGATTTCAGTGACATTGGTGTATCTTAATAAAAGGATTTTTCTTTCTAATTTAATTAAACTATGTAGCAAATATTAATAGAGATAATTCTACAGACTCAGTCCCATTTTTCCTAAAAGTTTTGTCTTCTCAGTATCTTCCTCCCCCTCTCCCAAATCATGTTACCATTGATCTTCAAACAGTTATGTAATGTTTTTTTTTTTTTTCTCTAAAGTGTGTACGTGATAACAGTAAAAAGAAAAAAGCCTAATTTATGAAAATCGCATAGTGTATGGCTAAAAATGCCCAATGGGCACATATTACTACTAAAAAACAAGTACTGCTTCTTGGAGGAATGTGTTATTTTGTTCTGTAACACAACTGTAAATCCTCATGCATTATTTGGTCCCATGTAAACTGAATGGAATTGCTCTACTGGTCAGTAAAAGTCTGGGAATAAGTGCCACCTGTACCCACATCTGCATCTCTGAAACAAAGGTTAACACACAATTAATACCAGGTTTTGCTTTCTACCTTACTGACTTGGCTTCTGTTATTTTAAAGATTTTGGATTGTTGTTTGTAAAAGGAACCTAGGACTTCTTAATACAATGCAATAAACATTAATGTCATGGCTTCTATAAATTATATCTTTAAAGATGGCTTTACACATAGTCTGACTCATTCAATAACAGTTGTAGTTAGGGCCCTGAGGTTCAAGGTGGTAGTTATGCTTTTCATCTACAAAAATATATTAAGAACAGGGTTCAAGGTGGAACTTTTCTACACAGGTTGTATTCTAATCTTAGGTCATAGGTGTTGAGAAGTGGGGATCCTTGACAAATGGTTTTGGCAAATGATCCACAATGAATCACTATGATCTGAGTGCCACTCCCTTGCCAAGGCATTATGGGGGAAAAACCTTTTCACATCTGGGCTTTTTTTTTTTTTTTTTTTTGGTATAAATTAACAGACATGGTTATTTTAAAGAAGTGACTTTAACCATTTAGAACCTGGGATACTTTTAGCATTTTCTTTGGTGGTGCCATTATGCCTCAGGAAGAAAGTGGTGTGACCTCCAGATGATTACTGGGTGCCACAGGACCTCGTTTGGCCCTTGTATAACCAAACTTCAAAAACCAGCAGGTAGAAATTACTGTTAACACAGAACTGCTTAAAACACATTTCATCTTAGGTTTTCCTACACCAGTGACATTATCATAGACAAGTTTCTACATCCAGATGGAGTTATTTGTACTTATATGCACACCAGCGTTTGCTTCTGTTTCATGTATTTAAACTAGCACCAACTATATCCACAGGTCAACAAAGTTGTCATCCTACAGCATCAAGGCCCTCGCTGTCACTCTCAATGTATGGGATGTCATAGTACTTGATGTTATTGCGTGCCCACTGCTGCAGGGCATCATGCAAAATTTCCTGGGATAGACGGTGTGCATATTCAAGCACCACAATGTTGGGCACTGGGGGTTTCTTCACTTCCTCATTGACATGAACTGGAGAAGGCATCCTAGGTAGAAATTCCTGTTCTGGCATGAAGGTTTCTTCATTCTCATCTTGCTTCTCTGGTGCAAATGTGGTAGGAAATGGAAAAGTTTGCTTTGATTTCATGCAGCCCATGTTGTAGAGGTGTTATGACTGAGTGAAGGAGAGCAGCAGCAAGACTACTTCAGCAGCATTTTGGGAAGACAGTGAAGGTCTGTCCACCACAAGATGTGGACCAGTGCTTTCTCTCGCCAGGCCACTTGGTAATCAGTGCTCCCTTTCACCACTCTTCACTCGTAGTGTTTATCTGTCAAGAGAAGGGAGTTTTCAGTTGTTGATGGATTTTAATTTATTTATTTATAGTAGTGCTGAGGATTGAACCCAGTGCCTCACACATGCTAGGCAAGCGCTCTACCAGTGAGCCCCAGCCCCAAGAGAAGGGAGTTTTCATTTTAATTCATAGAATGCAAAATAATGTAAGATTCATTGACATATTGGTACCCTGTAAAAATTCTTTTCACCAATTTGGTCCCTTGGAGGAAATGTGAAGTAACAACAAATAGCTTTATCTTATCAACTGAAGGGAAAAGAAATCAACAAAAATGGCAATTTATAAAACAGGAAAATGTTTTTTCAAGCTTTTGAAAATTTTATAAAACTAAAAATATTTAAACTCATTTATAACAGCAATATAGCTCCTGGATCAAATTCTAGACCCCTATTATCAGAATGCAGCCCTGCTCATTTGTTTTATGTATTATTGCTGCTTGATTTCATGCTATGATGGCAGGATTGAATACTTGTGACAGAGTGTGGCCTGCAAAGCCTAAAATATTTATTACCTAACCCTTTACAGAAAGCGTGTGCCAACCTCTGATCTTTCTTTGTCAAGGGAAATAAACATATCAAAGTCTGATTTTGTTGTGAACTTACAAACCTGCATATCTTGGACCGCTATTAGTCAGGCTTTGTTCCCTGGTCAGATATTCACAACTCAGTGGTCCTTATACTAGGGCCAATCAAACAACACAGGTTAGACACAGCAAAGTCAGTTTTTTTAAATGAATTAAATGTCTCTATGAGATTATATGTAAAGCTTATATTTATTTAAAATAGGTGTAAAGGTTTCTCCTAAGTATCCTACCCTTACCTGATGTTTGGACAGTAAGTAGGCAACAATGCTTCTGTGCTCCCCAAGTAGGTGCTGTCACTGGATAACTTCTCTTAAGCTAGAACTTCATGATAACTAAAACAACACTGAACAGCTTCACTGTAGAGAGAACCAGACATGTGAGAGCACAGGAAAGTCTCTATGGATGAGGTTAACTGTTCCCAGTTCTTTTTAATTTTAGGACTCAAGACAATTCAGTTAAGTGTTTCTGATACAAGTGATCCCTAAAAGGCAAAAGCTAGCATATGCCTAATTTGCTTTTCTAACTAAGTGTATAAAAAATAACCTTTACCATGTTTATTGCTATATACTTTTTTGGCTTTCTATGAATTCTACCCAATTTTCTCATTATATCTATTCCTGATAAGGATGATATACTGGTAAAGGGTCCTTCTGCTTTTAATTACCTTTAGTTCTATATTATACCCTGCTTCCTGCTCAATTTCAGAGATGTATTTCAATGGGGAAGAAAGAACATGTGTGATATCTGCTTTGTTTACTGGACTGAACTGCTTGAAGAGAACTGTCTTGGTTCTTCATCTCCAGCATGTATCTATTTTGTACTGTGAGGAACAGTTCAGGGACCCAGACATGGTTAACATGAAAAAGTTTACTTAGAAAACTCAATGGGTGTCATAAATAAAAGGCTGTGCGTAGAATCATCAGATTATCCTGTATATTCTAGGATCTTTGGTTTTGTATAAGCAGCTTTTTCTTGCCAATACAGAGTAACTAGTACCAGATTTGCCCTCTCACCTGGACAAAATACAGGTATTTTCAGAATGAAGGAAAAGCTGCTCAGTACTGTAATTCCTTGAGGAAAGGAGGACACAAGACATTTAATCCCATAATTGAACATCCTAGGGTTTTACTTGGGAGTATCTTCCTTAGAATTATCACAGAGAAGTTGAGCCCAAAGACAGACAGTGTTAATTCTACTGAGCTGAGGAAGCAGAGGTTTGGGTTACTGAAGCATCAAATTTATAAGACAGAGTTTATAAGAACCCTAGGAAAGGCAGAAATTTGCTAAAGGACTCATCAAGGATAAGGGCTGGGATGTGTATATGTAGGAAAATGATCTGCAGGGCCTAGTAAGAGATCGCCTGCTCTGGGACTTCGGAGTTGAACAGTGATACCAGATGTTCTACAGTACTGGGAATCCTTGGAGTTGGAGAGCACCCAAAGTGGAGAGACCCCATCGAACATTTGAGGCTTTAATTACTGCCCAGGAAATGTGATGCCTTAGGAATCAGGGGTATACCCTAGGAACAGGGGTTGGCAAAGGTTTTTGTAAAGAGATAGTATATGACAGGCTTGTGAGCTATATTGCTATAATCTGAAGATCCTCCCCAATTTATATGCTAAAACCTAATCCTCAAGTGATAGTATTTGGAAGTGGTGTCTCTGGGAATTAATATTAGGGCATCAGTGCCCTTATAAAAGAGGCCCCAGGAGCTTCCTTGCCCTCATTGTGAAGAAAAAAGGCACCATCTGTGAACCAGGAAGCCAGCCTTCAACAGACAAAATCTGAGTATACTTCCCAGTCTCCAGAACTATGAGAAAAAAGTTTGTTGTTTCTAACCACCCAGTCTATGGTATTTTGTTATAGCAGCATGAACAGATCGAGACAAAGTATATCACAAGGACTCATCTCTACTACTGCACAAAAGCAGCCACAGAAATATATAAATGAATGGGTATGCGATAAAACTTCATTTGCAAAAATAGCTAACCATAGACCATGTCAGAGTAAGTTCAACAGAAATAATCTCACTCTAACAAAGACTAAAAATATTTATAGAAAAATGACATAATACAGACTCCATACAAAGTATTATTTGCGATGTAAATAATTAAATGCAAAAAAGCAGGAAAATGTAACCCACCATCAAAAAAAAAAAAAAAAAAGCTGTTAGAAACAGACCCCCAAATGGCCCAGAATTTTTAATTAATAGAGCTTCATAGAACTTACTAGAAACTTTAAAAAGTTAAGTATATAAGTATATTCAAGGACATGAAGGAAAGAAAATAGAAACTCAAAACCTAAAATATACAATATCTGAAGTGAAAAATTCATTGTATGGGCTATTAGATGTTGCAAGAGATTAATGAAGTTAATAAATAAATGTGTATACACACATATACAGATAATCTGAAAACTGGGGGGGGGGGGGATTTTAAAACTGAACCGAGCAAAAAAGATAACGCACTAAAAAGATAATGCAAGTATGACCTTAAAGCAGTGGAGAATGAGTATGTTTAACCCAGAAGAAGACAGGAAAGGGGGGAACACTGGAAGAAAATGGAGCAATTAAAAAACAAACAAGATGACTAACTTCCACAAAAAATATACTGTTTGAAAGGGGAATGGACTAAAAATTCCAATTAAAAAGCAGATGTGATCACGTTAGTTAAACAGGATCCAGACCATTCAGATATGGTCAACAGATCCAAGGCCATACATTGAAGAAAGCATAGTCTTATGATCAAATAATGTGAGAACTGAGTATCCACATTAAAGAAATAAAAAACTGGACAGATATTATAGCCTTCACAAAAATTAACTCAAAGTGTTTCCTAGACCAAAATACAAAATGTAAAACTGTAACACTCCTAGAAAACAACATAGGGGAAAACCTATATATAACCTTGGGTTATATAATAAGTTTGACTTTGCTAGAATATGAACTCTGCTCTTCATAATACATTGTCAAGAAAATATGAAGACAAGCCACAGACGGAGAAAACATTGTAAAATTATATTTGATAAAGAACTGTTATACAGAGTAACCCAACAAGAATATGAACAACCTAATTTAAATTGGGCAAAAGATCTGAGGAAGACATGAAAAATAAACAAGAAAAAAAACATTCACCATCATATGCCACTAGGGAATTGCGAATTAAAACAAAGAGTGATACACTACTACAACCTGTTAGAATGAAGAAAATCCAACACACCAAATGCTAGTGATGATGTGGAACAACAGAGCTCACATTCATTGCTGGTAAGAAGGCAAAAATGGTACAGTCACTTTGGAAGATAGTTCAGCAGTTTCTCACATAACTAAACATACTTTTACTACATGATCTAGCAATTGCTCTTCTTGGTATTTACCAAAGGAAACTTGTGTCCATCTACATGCAGATTTCTTTATTCAAATTTCTAAAACTTAAGAGCAACCAAGACACCCTTCAGTTGGTGAATGAATAAACTGTGGTGTATCTAGATAATGAAAAATATTCAGCTTTAAAAAGGGATAAATAATTAAGTCATGAAAAGAAGAAACCTTAAATACATATTACAAGGTTTAAAAGGCCACCCTGAAAGAACTACATAATGATTCCAACTATATGAGAAATAAGGCAAAACTACAGACAGTAAAAAGACCGTGAGTTAGGAGGGTGGAATGGATAGATTCAGTGTAGATGATTTCTGGGGCAGAGAAACTATTCTACATGATACTATAATGATGGATACATGCTGTTATATGTTTGTCAAAATACATGAACTCTGCAAAACCAAAAGTGAACCTTAATAAAGTATGACTTAGGGTGAATGTGATGTGTCAATATAGGTTCATCAATTAAATGTACCGCTCTGATGGGGGATGCTAATGGTGTGCACTTGGTGGATACATAAAGTTCAGTTTCTCTGGGGGCCTAAAACTGCTCTTAAAAAAAAAAAAATCAGCTTTTGGGGGCTAGGGCTCAGTGATAGAGCGCTTGCCTAGCATGTGTGAGGCACATGGTTCCATCCTCAGAATCACATAAAAATAAATAAAATAAAGACATGCTGTTTATCTACAACTACCAAAAAAATTTTTTTAAAGTCAACTTTAAAAACAAACCATGTGCTCTCTATAAGAGGTGTACTTTAAATATAAATATGTACAGAACTAATAGCTTCAAAATACATGAAGAACTAAAAACTGATAGAATTAAAGTAGAAACCCCAGCACAATTGGATTTAAACATTGCTCAGTCAGCAAATGATAGAGTATCCAAAGAATACAGGTTTGAACATTATGATCCAATGTGAATTAACTGACATTAACTTAACAGTTATATTAACAGTATCTCAACAACTAATACATATTCCTATCAAGTGCTTATGGAGCATTCATCAAGACAGA